GCGAGGCCGTGTTGGGGGCCTCGAGAAGCCCGGCCACCCGCTGGGAAAGCGCTCCAGGGGGATGTTCAATATGCTCCGCTGCGCAAGCTCGTCGGCGGTCTCTGGGAGTTTCTGCGCGCCCCAGAAGGGCCCGAAGAAGCCCCCCGCCTGGGCCCCGAAGAGCCGCTATTTCAAGTCGCGCGGTGCGATTTGAAATTGGGCCCTATTGGATTCCCACGGAGCCCTCTTGAAGCGCCTCTGGTGCCCCCTGGGGGCCTTCTTCGGCCCAGTGCTGGGGTGTTTGGGGGGCCTCAGGGCGGATCCAAAAGGGCCCCGGATGGGCATTTAAAGTCATTATTTTCAGGGGGGGTGCAAAGGAATGCATTGCAGTTTGCGGTCTTCGGTCATAGTGCCCTTTCGGGGTCCTCTCGGAGTCCTTCGGGGCCCCGCAAGGTCTTTCTCCGGCTCGTCCCAGGCAGTGCTGGGCCCCGAGGGGGCTCCGAGAGGCTCCCCCAATGGGGTCTCAAGGTTGTTCGATTTCAAGTCGCTCGGTGCGATTTGGACTTAAGACCTCTCGGCGTCCTCTTGGAGCCCGCCCGGATTTCTCTTGCGGCTTTCCCGAGGTTCTCCGATATCGTTTCAGAGGCTGTCTCGGGGGCCCAGGGGTGTGCGGGGCAGCGTCGCTTCGAGCTCCGGCAGGCGGGGCTTCGCCGGGTGCTCACAGGGGTCGCTCTTGGAACCTTCTTGGGATTTTTGGAAGATCTTCCTAGGCCCTGTCAGGGCCCTCGGCCTCTTTTCGGATTTTCTTAGAGGCCGTTGGGAAGGGGGGGGGGGCGACGGAGAGGGCGGAGGGATACTTGAGGGGGGGCGAAACCTAGCGGCCAACGGGGGCGGAGGAAGAGGAGAAGGAGAGGCCATGTTGAATGGGTTGTGATGCATTCGTTTCAAATGTAGCAACGGGGGACGAGAAGGAGGATGGCGGGGGGGAGGAGGACTGCCTGCAGGTGAGATTACAACATAGGAGGGGCCATTTTGAGTGAAGTCGCGCAGCGACCCAGTGCTGTCCCAACGCGGCGCAGGCCCCCAATAGGTTCCAATCAGGCCCTGCGAGGACCTCCCGCAGCGCGTCGAGATGGGCTCTCGAATATCAGGGCGGTGTCGACTAGACCGTGCCGCGCTCAAGAAATCGCCCGGATTGCGTTCGTTTTTTTTGTCGGCGGTGCATCCGCTGGGTATCGCATGAGCCCCGCAATCGAGGATATTGCGGGTCGTGTGTGCGCGTGTCTTCGCGCGACTGACTCGCGCGGTCTCCTCCAGAACAAGTGTATCGCCCGGGATTATTCCATTCGTCCCGCTTTGCCGCCATGGCGTTATAAGGGGGTGCCGCGCTGCTTCCTTGCGCCTGGCTTCTGCCTCCTGCATTGCGACCCTGCCCCCGCGTGCGCGCGCGCGCCCCCGGCGTCCAATCGTCGGTGCACCGCGCGGGAGATTTGATTTGTCAGCGGCGTTTCAGATCGCGCGCCACCTTCGGGCCCCAGCTGCGCGCGCGCCGCCGCGTCCACCTCGAGCGGCCCAATCGGGCCTTCGCGCCGTGCCAGAGCTTCGTTTGGCTGCCCGGGCAGCGCGCGAGAGCGCGCGCGCGACTTCGTGTGGGCGAGTTCGAGCGCACGGTGATAGCGCCAACGTTGCAGCCTCCAGCCGCCACGCGCACTTCCTCATGCGATGTTCGCCGTTGACGTAGCGACGTTGGCCCCCGACTAAGGGCTGCGCGCAACGCCGCCCTCGCAGACTGAAGCGCCGGCGCGAAAACGCAGCGCAACTCCGCGCAGTCATCGGGAAATCATGCATCCAATTCGGAAACCATTCGGGCACAGTTCGGGCACCCTAACTTGGGTCCGCTCGCCCACGACAGAAGCCCGCCGGCTGCTTCCCAGTTGCACTTATCACCCAGGAGAAGGTAAACCATGATCCCCATCATGCGACACCCCTACTTCACAAGGCTCGAAGACTCCCTTGTCCACGGAACCATCAGTGTCAACGAGCGCGACGAGGTCACGATACTCAACATGTCTCTCAAAGATTGGCGCGCGGCGCCATTGCCCAATCCCATTGCATGCGAAGCAGCAAAGAGGCCTTGATCGTAGACGCCATCGCCGACTACCGCTCCAGCCACCGCGACATCCTGGACAAGCTCGACACCCTTGCCATGGCAGGGGGCCCACAGGTCAGTTACAACACGGCCGAGACAAGTCAGAACGAAATCGTTGCGGCCAACAACCTCGCCCACGGCTTCCTCGACAAGCTCAACGACTACGTCGCCAAACTGCGCTCCTAACTACTGGCGATGGCCATCCTCGCCCCTGTGCAGCGCCGCGCGAGGTGCCCGCGCGCCTGGCGCCGACCGCAGGTCTCCCCCACCGCCACCTCGTGACAATGAGGAACCATGACGGTATCCCACCTCTCCCAACCCCACATCCGCCGACGGGGGCGCGCCGACGGACGATTCCAACGCGTCAGAGCTTTGGGTGCATAGTACCTCATCACCGACCCCGTCGCCGACCTCATGCCCTACCGCGACAACGCGTACCTCTGAGAGTAAGGGGAGTGCAGGGGGCGTTATATGGGGGGGGGAGGATGAGGTGTAGCGGATGAAGTGGTGGTGGCGGAGCGGTTTGTTTGGAGTAGAGCGCGGCGCGGGGGCCGTCCTGCTGATCTTTCCCTTCGTTTCCTCCCCTCCTTCGCTCAACCCGCCGTTCGTGTCCCACTTCGACCTCTTGTTTCGGGCCCCCGTCCGGTTCTCCATCTTCGTGCCTCGCCGGCCCCTTCAACGGTGAGCGGCCCAATTTCGGAATGGTCCCCTCCTGCAGTGCCAGATGGCACCTGCAGGAGGAGACCAATGGCAGCACCTGCGAAGGCCTCATGCTGTCAGGATAGGATGGGCGAAGGAGAAGGCCTTCTCAGAAGGCGGCGGGGTTTCTCAGACGCCCTCCGGGCCTTTTGAGAAGTCACTGTGTCTTCCGGGGGGGCGCGAAACAATTTCCCGGAATATTGGGGGACTTCCGAGCCTTCTGAAAAGGCCCGCCCCTTTTCACTTCTCGCCCGGGTTCGCCGCCGACCCTAGCTCCAGTGGGAAGTGCCGCGGTTGGGAGTTCGGGCTCGGCTCGTCGCTCCGCAGGTTTTTGCCCACCACGCTTCGGTGGGACACGCTGTCCACGTCCCCATCTCCAAGCGCCAAGGTCCTGAGCCTCACCGAGCATCGCGTTCCGCGGAGCGGAGCGACACGCCATCCGCTTGTATAGCACTGCGTTCAGCCAAGGCCGCCGCCGCGAAACGCCATCCAGCAGTTCCTGACCGTAGTGGGGACTGGAGGAAAAGGACCATGCCTGCAGGGCGAGGAGCGCAGTCTCCCAGAGGCGGCCCTGGGTTCGAACAGCGCCGCAGCTCTTTCAGAGCCGCTGATGACCGTGAGCCGCGCCCGTGCCGCCATGCCTGTCCAGATCGACTAGGCGTAAGAGTGACCCTTCGCCGGAGTGACCTCTGGCGCGGGCACAGCTGGGCCCTCGGATGGCCGAGAGAGAAGCGGTAGCAGCGGCCTGCGCGCTCGTTTTTGGCCCCCCCGCGGTCCCGAGAAGCCGCGCACCAGAGGCCACTCCTGCCCAGGGGCCACTCTTGCGCGTGGCCGACCAGAGGCGTCTGCCTGCCCTGTCGTGTCCCCGTCCGCGTGAGCTCCCTTTTGCTTCCGCGCGGCGCGCTGCGCCGGCGGCCCCGCGTGGGGGCCACCGAGCAAGGTCGCCGGGCCCGCCGCGCATAACAGTCCCCATTCATCGGGGCTGAAGAGGTGGGCCAGACGAACGGGGGGGATATATAGGGAAAGGGGGGGGTACGAAATCTGCTGCGTGCAGCTGGTTTCGGCCCCACCGAGGGGCCCAGTCCTCGATGCATGGCCGCCTCCGGCGCCGGGGGGCGCCGGGAAAATCAGCTACGTGAGCTGATTCTCACCCCCCCCCCTTTGCTATCCCCCCCTGTCGTCCAGCCCGAAAGCCAGGGCGCAGGATCTTGCAGGATGCTGCAGAGCCAGTGGCGCACCGACCCGTGTTGGGGCGCAGGATTTTGCAAGGCTCGAGTGACCCGCGTTTGCAGTGGCCCGGGTCAGTGCGTCCCTGATCTCTTTCGTTGCCCACCCGTGTTTGGTCGAAGAAGAAGAAGAATAATAATAAGAATAATACGAAGAAGCGGGCGGCCCGGTGCGCCAAAGCCGCAGCCGAACGCGCACATACGGCCAGCAGCCGCGCCGGGGGCGCTGGGAGGGCAAACGAGAAGAAATGGGCATACGCAGAGGAGAAAACCACACATCGGGGGCCAAGGATGGGGAAACAAAAGGTACCGATGCCGCTGCTCCCTGGACCTCTCCCGGCGTGGGGGTTCTGACCAGAATTTTGAGGCGAAGCCAGCGCGGTGTCGACGGAGGCCTCCCTGGAGGCCCAACAAGGGGAAAACGAGGGAAAGGTACTTAGTGGTATCGGTACCGTTCCCTCCTCTGAAGGGAGGCGGTCCGCCCTTCATCGACGAAGGGCATCCACTTCGGAGTTCGCGCGGATCCCCGGGATCGGCGCTGGACACCCTGTATCGGCGCCTCAGGCGCCGCCCTGAGAGCGCTCCGCGCGCCCCCGCGGCAGTGGAGGGGAGGACCCCCTGTGTGCAAGCGCTACCCGTGGAGCACAGATGCATCACTAGCACGGTCGGACCGAGGTACAAGGTCGAGGTCGGCTCGGGGAGTGCATCCTTGGGGAGGGTGTCCTCGAGTGATCTTATGCTTCAGGGACGTTTCGGCAGGCGGAGGGTCTCATGTTCTCGAAGGTTGCTCTTCCGTCCTGGGTCCGACAGTAGTACCTGTGGCAGGTTGGGTGGGGGAGGGGTGGAGCACGAAGGAGGGACGGCGCCAAGCGAACCGGAGAAAGTGCGAGTGGATTCCTGGAGTGCAGCCTCTCCCTGGCAGCCTGGACGCCTGCCCCTCGCCCAAGGCGCTCTTCCTCGAGGACATCATCGAGAAGACGGGGTTCTACCTGGAGGCCGCGAGGGGGGGCCGCACCTGACACAGCGGCACGTCTCACGGAACACATCACCACCACCACCCGCTTCTCGGCGGCGTGCCCAGGGGGACAGTCCGACGGGGCGGGCCAGGCTCGGAGGGCCTCCGACCTCCTGCGAGGAGCCCTGGGCCCTCGCCGCAGACGCTCGACGGCCCCTCGAAGGCCGGGAGGCTTCTGAGGCGCCTTGCCGCCTCCGGAGACGGCCTGCCCCTTCTCAATTCCCCCTCCTCCTCCTCCTCCTCCTCCTCCTCCTCCTCCTCCTCCTTCTCCTCCTCCTCCTCTGCTCCTCCTCCTCCTCCTCCTCCTCTCCTCCTCCTCCTCCTCCTCCTCCTCCTCCCTCCTCCTCCTCCCCCTCCTCCTCTCCGTTCTGCGCGTTTAGGCGGTACTGCTGGGGGCGGCCGGGGGGCTGAAATCATGGCGTGGGCCATGATATTTCCACAGACTTCATGGCGCCTCTTCTTGTTCCACTGCGTCCCTGGCCCCCCCCCCTCCCCCCTCCCTTGGGCCGCGCACGTGGCCGCCGGCCATGATTTGCACCCCCCCTCTTGGACGCCCCCCTCTTGGCGCCGCCCCCGAAGCTTGCCGCCCATCTCTTCTTTCTCCCCCTGCCGCCGCCCTCTGACTGGGCCGTGCTGCTGAACCGGTGCGGCGACGGGGTCAGCCACCTGCCGTGCGGCCAAGGGGCTGCTGTGCGGCAAGGAGGCGCCGCCCACGGAGAGGCCAGCCCTTTGGATTTGCGAGCAGCCGCTTTGCCAGTAGCCGCAGGGCCGCTGCTTGGCTCCGACACCCGGCGTCGTGTCTCCAGGGGGTGACGAGACCCCGACCCCGGTAAGTGGCGTTTGCCGAGCAGTCCTAAGTAGGCGTTTGACGGTTGCTTTCCTTCAGATTCTGGCAAGTTTCCAATCATGGAGTTGGGGGGCTTGGCGAGGCCTGGCGCTGTTTGAACAGGTGGCGGGGGGTCGGGCAAATGTCACGCAAGTAAACTTGTCTGCGTCTCAACGAGGCAGCCTCTTTACTAAGCAGTTCCGCCCTGTAGGATTCCCTCCCCCAGGTGCGTTTACGCAAGGGCTTCGCTTATGGTGGTGGTCCTTCCGCCCTCTGACGTGCTTGCTCGTGACGTGGACCCAGGGGGGCCCCAGACTCCCACCCTCGGACCAGTCCTCCATTATGGCCGGGCAGTGTTTTGTTTTTTATGGCTCCTGGGCCCTGAGCAGGGGCGTGAGGGGTGGTGTCTTCTCTGGAGGGCCTCGCTGAGTACTTGCGGTCCACCAAGCCGATCTCTTCTCTCGCGGGCGACTTCTCTCCCCCAGACATGGACCTCCCTCTCACACTTGCCGCTCAGAAAAGAATTAGAACTCGGGGATACACCCTTGGGAGACTACAGTCAACCCGCATAAAAAGGAAGTGAACCTCCCCAGGGGTATCTTTGCATTCTTTCCTCTTCGGTCCATACTTGGACGCTTCTGCTTGACGAAGTGTCGACATGGCCTTCCTTCGACTGTATTGGGACGCGCCCATTTCGAGGATGGACGCCCCCCCCGTCGTATACCTCCGAGCCTGCCCACAGAGTCGGAGTTTGGGTCGGGTCGCCATACCCCTGTTGCAGCACCAGGGGGGATGCAGGTCTACGCGCCTGCAGGCGAGGAAGCGAAGGAAGGTCAGAAGGAGGCGGTTCTGCACGTGGCAAGGCCCTTGGACGTCGCGTAATGAGCCACGTGAACATAAACGAGGCCGTCTTTGCCGACACTGGCGCGGAAGCTGCCCGCGTAAGGTCGCGCGTGGGTTCCCTCGCCTTCAGTGTTTTGCGTGCCGCGCCGGCGGCCCGCGCAAGCCGCCGCGTGAGGTCGTTATGTCATTTCGCGTAAGGCCCGTTTTCGATCGACGCTCGTTTGGGGAGGCGATCGCAAACATGGATCAATGTGGCGTGGATTTGCGACGGATCCCGTTTCCGTGGGACATCGCGGACTTCCGCCGCCGAGCGAGGCGGCACTCGCCGCATTTTGGGAAGGGCACCTCCCCCGATCCATTGATTTGGCGACCGCGCGCCAAATCCATGGATTGTTAATCCGTGTCTGCGTGCCCCCGATACTGGGGAGGCCATCAATCGGGGTGCGCCGAGGGCTGCCGAAAAAGAGGCCGCTTCGGGCCCAATTGAGGCCCCGAGAGGAGCCCAATTGGGGCCCCAGAGGGGGCCTGCAGGGGCCAAGAGGTGCACCCTCCTCCTCCTCCTCCTCCTCCACCACTGCAGAGGGTCAGTGAAGGAGGAGGAGGAGGAGGAGGAGGAGGAGCAAGAAGATCAGGAGGAGGAGGAGGATGAAGAGAAGGAGGAGGAGGAGGAGGAGGAGGAGGAGGAGGAGAAGGAGGGAGGAGGAGGAGGATGAGGAGGAGAGGAGGAGGAGGAGGAGGAGGAGGAGGAGGAGAGGAGGTGGAGGAGCAGGAGGAGAGGAGGAGGAGGAGCAGGAGCAGGAGCAGCAGGAAGAGGAGGAGGAGGAGGAACAGGAAGAGGAGGAGGAGGAGGAGGAGGAGGAGGAGGAACAGGAGGAGGAGAGGAGGAGGAGGAGGAGGAGGAGGAACAGGAGGAGGAGGAGGAGGAGGAGGAGGAGGAGGAGGAAGAGGCACCCTCCCCCTCCAACTGACGGTGGTGGTGGTGGTGGACAACAGGCCCATCAGTGGTGCCAGATTTTCGGACGGCCCCAATCGAATTGTGCTGCTCGTTATGGGTCTGTGGTGCGGCAGGTTTTGTGACACATCTGAATTTTTGCAGGGGCATCTGGCGGACACTTTGGCGGTGCATGTGGCGGAAGTTTAGGAGAAGCTTTTGTGGCGAACCTTTGGCGTTTTGTTGTGGCTTGGAATTTTTTGCGCCCCGTGGCAGGCAGACATGCAGAGTGGGAGCGGTCGTGATATACGACGCATGAGTGACCGTGGGAGTGTGTGTCGGGAGGATGTGAACGGGGTGGGCAATACACGGGTGGGCGATCGAGAGATGCCGGACAGTTGCAAAAGACAGATGGGCCGCTTCGAAGAGGTTGACCTCGGGCCGTGTTCCGGAGCGAATAGCAATAGTTACGTCAGTTATAGTAATAGTACGGGCGGTGGTACAAGATCGAGGTCGGTTCGGGGAGAATGCCCTACACTTCGTGTGTGTTGGATATTATTGTTCATCATGGGGGGAGGGCACCATCGAATGTTCTTTTTTTTTGGGCGGAGGAGGGTCTCATATTCTCGACGGATGTTATGTTGTCCTAGGTCCGACCGTAGATAAGGGGCAGAATAAGCTTGATGCGATACGCAGGATTCGAACTTTGGCGAATGACATGTCTAATCTCAGGGGACCGGATGCGTCTTTCGAACTACAGAATCACGGCATGTTTGGATTTTCGCGGCTCTGTTTGACAAACCTCCCTTCGCTTCTTGTCGAGTTCGTTGGATATGATTTGGCGGCTGTTCAGGTGCGTTCTGGAACTCTTGCGAGAGTTGGCCCGCCCTCGCTCGGCTCTGACGAGCTTAGCATGATGCCACAGCCCAGTTTCGGGGGTGGACAGACCTCCTACCCTGACACGTCGATTAAGGAATTGACCGTTTTCGGTTCGCGGGAGGGTGTCGCGGCCGTCATTTTTGTGGGTCCGGGTCCGTCGGTTTCGGTCCCAGGCCGTTTTCATGAAGGGGAGGTTAACGAAGGGGAGGTTTGTCCACCGCCGACAGCTGGCCGTTCCGGTTCCCCGGAAGCCCTGCTGCCGCGGAGTGCCTCGGACATCTCATGGGCGTTGCCGTGGCCGCGGCCAGCCTCGCCTGCGCACGGCCGGCGGGGGGGTGGGGGGGGGGCGTGCGCTCCCTGCGCCTCGGAGCTCCTCTTGTGCCGTGGGTCGGTATCGTTCATCCGACCCCCACCCCCATCCCCATCCCCATCCCCTTCGAGACCCCCACCAAATTGCCCCCCCCCCAGTTGGGGACACACCCCGCGAGACCTGAAGGGAACGGCCTAGATCCCCATCCAGGGGGGCAAATCGGCCAGTGGGGCCCAGGCCACGCCGCTGGGGATGGGGATCGGTGAAACAGTACTCAGTGGGTGCACGGGCCCGCCTCCTGGGCGCTGCCAGGTGCACCGGGGACAGCGGACAGCCCGCACTCAGTCAGTGAGAATTGAGGCCCTGCCACCGCAAGTCGTAGGCGGCTCCTCTCGCCCCCACACCACGGGCTCCCCACCCCACACATCAATCAGGAGGGGAACAAAAACACACACACACACAGGCACAATGAATCGTCGATCCCCAGAAACATATGGGAAAATGTCGGAAGTGGGGGGGGAGGCGAAAACCGAGAAAATGGTAGAAAATATGGGGGATCGTTTTATTTGTGTGTTTTTGATTGTGTGTCCCGGGGCCCCTTCAATCAAGCCGCTTCGAGAAGATGGGCCACTCGGGGATGCACCCGCCGGGCTCCATTTGGACGCGCCCCTGTCGAGGATGTGCGCCCTCCAACGTACATCCCCGAGTTTGGCGCACCTCTGGTAAGTGCAGTCGGAAGCCCACACAGCTGGGGATTAGGGTGGCCACATCCCCCCCTGTAGTGATTGCTCTCTACTTCCTCCATCCACGTGCTGTCGCAGCCCACCTTCTCCTTTCCTCTCCTGCGCGAGGAAGACTCGGAGTTCCGGAAGTGGCAGTCGCGTACCAAGGCCTGCATTTTCTACGTGTCCCACAGCATAGAAGTGGGTGCAGTCGTACATGTTCGATTCATATAGTTGTGCCCTGCTTAATGTGGTCGGGCTTGTGACTCTTGCTTGGATCCGATCGACATCGACCTTTGCCAGCTCCATCCGATTCGATCGGGGGGCCAGCACATGACCACGATCTACGTTTGCAGCCACCACCCCGCACAGCATGAAGGGATACTCTTCAGTCCCGATTGCAAGTGTGGGACGCTCGACCAGTGTTGTATACATACGCTACCTTTCTCGCGGTTGTCTGCACACGTGCCGCAGTGTATGCCCTCGCATCGAATCGATACAGGTCTTCCGAGGATCCGATGCGGCCCGATGTTTGCATTGCGTTGCTGTGCGTCCTGGCGCAGCCGATCGCACTTGAATTCACAGCTGCCGGGAGTTCCTGGGCGTCCCCCCCCACGGGCAGCCCCGGACCCTCCGCGTGGCTGACCTGCGCGCCTTCCTGCGGCGTTCCTGCACGCTTTCCAGAACGCAGCGGGGGGACTCGCCCTGCACTCGTGCCTGTGGCGCGGAGTCGTGCTGGACGTCGCCTCCATTGGAAGAGTGAGCCGCGTCGTCCGTCTGGTACCGTATACCGTGCAGCGTCTGAACGCTTCCCAGCAAGGCACTGCACGACCTGAGGGATCCCCAGGGCCGCGCCCGATACGGCTTCGACTGAGCTTGGCGGCCCTGAAATCGTTTGAGTTGTCCATGACTGGCCCCCAGGTCTTCCAAGGAACCTCCCAAAGACTTCCGAGATAGCCCGAGAGGTCTTCAGGACGTTCAGAAGATCTTCAAGACCGCGAAAGACGGTCCACAGGCCACGAGCTTTCCGGAGCCTCCCAAAGGTTACCTTCGGGCACCTGCGCGGTGTACCTGCTCAGAGAAGCGGGATCTCGTTGGGCCTGCTTATTCAATGATTCCTAAAGCGTCCATCGGAGTACGCTCCCACATGGTGATCCTTGCGGGATGATGTCCATCCTTACCCAGTCCGGTAAATTGACTTGGCCTGCGCTAGAACCTATGTGCGCGCGCTTGGCGTTCGAGTGGTTGCTTAGCGAACACACATATATACTTGTATAAATATATGTACACATACATATCGGAGGTTGGGGGGTGAGATCGCAGTGGAACGGAGACCCCCAACCAGGAAGTCGTTTCGTTTCATTCGTGTCGTGCGTGCGGGCGAGGCGAAGTTGCGTGGGCTTGCGAGAGGAATGACTCCGCCGTTGCTAGGGCGAAGTCAAGACAAATGATTCTCCCCCGCTCGCCCGTCCGTCCGTCTGGCGGTGGCTCGCGGTATCCCGTGGTGTCCCGTGGTGTCTCGTGGTACCCTTTTGAGTGAGATCGATAGTGAGATCGATATTGAGATCGATATTGAGATCGATGTGCTGCCCCGAGGTGCGTCCCGTGGTGTCCCTTGAAGTCCCAACAAGTGAGATCGATAGTGAGACCGATTATGAGATCGACAGGTGTCCCGTGGTGTCCCGTGGTGTCCCGTTGAGTGAGATCGATAGTGGGATCAATAGTGAGATCGATAGTGAGATCGATATTGAGAACGATGTGCTGCCCCGAGGTGTCCCGTGGTGACCAGTGGTGTCTCGTTGAGTGAGATCGATAGTGAGATCGATGCTGAGATCGATGTGGTGCCCCGAGGTGTCCCGTGGCGTCCCGTGCTGTCCCAAGAAAGTGAGATCGATAGTGAGACCGATAGTGAGATCGATAGTGCGATGGAGAGGTGTCCCGCGGCGTCCCGTGGTGTCCTGTGGTGTCCCGTTGTCTCCCGTTGAGTGAGATCGATAGTGAGACCGATAGTGAGATCGACAGGTGTCCCGTGGTGTCCCGTGGTGGCCCGTTGAGTGAGATCGATAGTGAGATCGATGCTGAGATCGATGTTGTGCCTCGAGGTGTCCCGTGGCGTCCCGTGCTGTCCCATGAAAGTGAGATCGATAGTGAGATCGATAGTGAGATCGATAGTGCGATCGAGAGGTGTCCCGCGGCGTCCCGTGGTGTCATGTGGTGTCCCGTTGTCTCCCGCTGAGTGAGATCGATAGTGAGACCGATAGTGAAATCGATGTGGTGTCCCGAGGTGTCCCGTAGTGTCCCGTGGTGTCCTACGGTGTCCCATTGAGTGAGATCGATAGTGAGATCGATAGTGAGACCGATAGTGAGATCGAAGAGGTCTCCCGCGGCGTCCCATGGTGTCCCGAGGTGTCCCGTGGTGTCCCGCGGTGTCCTGCGGTGTCCCGTGGTGTTCCGTTGAGTGAGATCGATAGTGAGATCGATTGAGTCGGATGTTGGTTCCCCCCCTTTCCACCCCCCCACAATCGCCTTATCACCCGAAGGGTGGTCGTATAGGTATATGTATGAGATTCGGGGTGAGATCGCATTGAAGTGGAGAGCCCCCCACTGGGAACTCGGTTTTGGCTCCCTTCCGCGCGTGCGAGCGAGGCGGAGCTGCGGGGGCTGGCGAGAGGAAGAATCGCGCCCTGTCTAGGGCGAAATGGGGCTCAATGCCTCTCCTCCCCCCGGTTGGCCGGCGGTGGCCCCTGGGTGTCCCGATGCTGTCCTTTGGTGTCCCGTGGTGTCCCGTGGCGCGGTGTCCCTCCGTGTCCTTCTGCTGCCCGTGCAGGTCGATAGTGAGGTCGATAGTGAGATTGATTGAGTGAGATCCACAGTGAGATCGGTAGTGAGATCGGTAGTGAGGCCGACATCGAGATCGAGATTGAGATCGACAGTGAGGTCGATAGATAGGAGAGAGCGTGATCCACCGCCGCTTTACTGTGGAAAATTCTTTACGCTTCGCGTATTCCCACCAGCCCATCTCACAGCAGCACCTCTTGCGAAGCATGCCGACAGTCGTGTTTTTCAGGCGTGTGTCCGCTTGACCCCGCATATCTCCCCTGTTCCTCCTTCCTCCCGCCTCCTTGCACATCCTCCTTGTGGGGGGAGCGGGAGAAGGACGAGGCGGAGGAGGAGGAAGAGAAAGCGTTCCTCGTGATTTGAGTCGTTTGGGGTTTCTCGTCCTGGTGTGAGTCGTTCGGGCCCTTCTTCCTGGTGTGAATCGTTCGGGCTCTTCGTGGTGTGAGTCGTTCGGGCTCTTCGTCCTGGTGTGAGTCGTTCGGGCTTCTCGTGGTGTGAGTTGTTCGGGCCCCTCATCCTGGTGTGAGTCGTTCGGGCCCCTCCTCCTGGTGTGACTCGTTCGGGCTCCTCGTGGTGTGAGTCGTTGGGGGCCCGCGTCGTGGTGTGAGTCGTTCGGGCTCCTCGTGGTGTGAGTCGTTCGGGCGCCTCGTCCTGGTGTGAGTCGTTCGGGCCCCTCCTTGTGGTGTGAGTCGTTCGGGCTCTTCGTGGTGTGAGTCGTTCGGGCCCCTCGTCCTGGTGTGAGTCGTTCGGGCTCCTCGTGGGGCCTCTTGGGGGCCTCTTGGGGGCCTCTTGGGGCCTCTTGGGGGCCTCTTGGGGGACTCTTGGCGGCCTCTTGGGAGCCTCTCGGGGGCTCTGGGGGCTTCGTGGGGGCCTCTTGGGGGCCTGTTGGGAGCCTCTGGGGGTCTCTTGGGGGCCTCTTGGGAGCCTCTTGGAGGCCTCTCAGGAGCCTCCTGGGGGCATCTTGGGGCTTCTTGGGGGCTTCTTGCGACCTCCTCAGAAGCGCAAATGAGCGCTACCCCCTGAGAAGGACAAACTGAGCCCAAAACCTTCGTAAAATCAATGATTTTGAGAACGAGGAAGAGGAGCGCTGCCCCCTCAGAAGGCCAAAATGGGGCCAAAACCGTAGTAAAATCAATGATTTTGGCTTCACAGAAGAGGAGAGGGTTTTTTTCTGGACCCCCCGTCGGGGGCAGAATCCTCGTGAGGGTCGTCGTTTTTTAGCCCTCCCAGGAGTCGAACAAGACCCCTCCAACCACCCGCGGCCCGCCCTCTCCAGACCCAGGGGGAGGGGGTAGGGGGAGGGGTAAACCCCTCCCCGAAGGGGAAGAAGGGGGGTTGGGGGGTTGAGGACAGAGAGAGCTCTCTAAACCACTCACGCCCAAAGGGCTGGTGGGATTGCCGCCCTTTTCCTCGACCTGTGGGGGCCGCCCCCCCCCCCTCCGAAAATCCCCCCCCCCCACCTGCTGGACCCCCCCCCCCCCTCCCCTTTCCCCCTGCCCAAACCCCCCCCCTCCCTAACCCCCCCCCCCCTCGAAAAAACCCCCCCCCCTCGAAAACCGGAGGGGGGGTTCACTACCAACTGAGCTGTCCCACTGTTCCCACCACTGTCCCCACTGTCCCCACTGTCCCCCACTGTACCTCTGTCCCATTGTCCCACCGCCGTCCTCGCCACCGCCTTCACCACTGTCCCCACCACCACTGTACCCTCCACTGTCCTACTGTTTCCACCACATTCCCACTGTCCCCACACCACTGTCCCCACCACCACCGTCCCCATCACTGTCCCACTGTCCCCGATGTTCCCACCATTGTCTTCACCATTGTCCCCACCACTACCGTCCCCACCACTGTCCCACTGTCCCCACCACTATTCCGCTGTCCCGGCACCACTGTCCCCACCACCACCGTCCCCACCACCACCGTCCCCACCACTGTCCGGGGGGGGGGGGGGTGTTCGAACCGGTAGTGGCCCCCGCGGTTTTCGAGTTCGAGGGGGGGGGGGCCGGGGGAGGGGTTCGAAACCGGTAGTGACCCCCCCCACCTTTTCTTGATGAATGGGGTGGGGGGGGGGGGAGGGTTCGAACCGGTAGTGACCCCCCGGTTTTTCGGGTGGGGGGGGGGGAGGGAGGGGTTCGAACCGGTAGTAACCCCCCCCCCGGATTTCCGCCAGCAGCGGTAGAACACGCTCTTTCATAGTGATGATGCATTGAGATCGATAGTGACATCGATAGTTTCTCTTCCATGGTGTCCCGTGGTGCCGCGTGGTGCTCTATGGCTTTGTATGGTCTTCCGTGGTGTCTTGCGGTGTCTTGTGTCGACATATCGATAGTTGGATTGGCGATGGCATTCATTTGCCCGCCATGGCTGTGGTGACGCAATCACCGATTGATAGTCACACTGGTAGATCGGTAGTGGGCTCCATGGCGAGATTGAGCGGTGGTAGATCGCTACGCTGACAGTGGTATCGATTGCGAGGTGGATATTGAGGCCAATGGTTCGTGAGACTTCTCAGATACATAGTGGGTCGCGATGGTGCCATTGGTCGTATAGGTATCTACATTCTATATGTAGATATCGTAGCGAGTATGCCGATGCTCGTGCGAGTGGCATGCATCATCTCGCCAGCCTGCGGCGGGCGTGCGTGTGCCATCTGTGCGCATCCCCTCCCACAATCATGAGCCTCCAGCCTCAGCCCCAGCAGAGTGGCCCCCTCTTGACGCACGGTCCTCCCCACCACGGTGAGCCCCTGTTCTTCTTTCGGAGGGTCTCGACGTGTAGACCACGTCGTTTGGGATTCGGAATTCGGTGTACAGACGCTCCAGCGTACAACAGGTTGGGCAGCTGGGACATCTGTACACCGAGCTCCTTGGCCGACCAACCGACGTGGTGAATAAGTCGAGCCCCTCCCATGCTTCTTCCCACAGCCAGCAAAAGCCTCGCCCTCGACAACGTATGTTGTTTGTGAGGTGCCCCCCCCCCTGGGATCTCGACCTTCTCCCTGGAACCGGCTTTTCCATCTTGCACTGCTGTGCGACGATCTCTGGGGCCGTGGGGCTGCCTGCAGAGGCCGAACGCGTAGAACATCCAGCCGTCACCTTTTTTTTGTGCGACCTCAGGATCAGAAGGAATGGCACAGTGTTTGATCCCTGCTTCATGGCGCAGCTGTGGCCCCACTTTCCCCTCTCGCTTCACCCCAGTGGGGCAGCAACTGCGGCCCTCAGTTTTCACGCACCCGTCTTCACCTCGCCCTCTCTCTCTCTCTCTCTTTCTATCCGTAGCATATTCCTCATGTCTCTCCCTTTTCCTCTCTCTCTCTCGCCCTCTCTCTCTCTCTTTCTGTGTCTCCGCCCTCTCTCTTGCTCTCTCTCTCCCTCTCGATATCCATCTCTCTCTCTCTCGCGTTCCCTCTCTCGTATTTTGTTTTGTTTGTTTATTTATTTATATATATATATATGTATCGTTCTCTCTTCCTTTCTTTATTTCTCTCTCTCTCTCTTGTGCGCTGTCGCTATCTCATTGCTGACCCATGGTTGTTCCTATGCCCGCACTCGTTCGCCGGTCTGGACCATGGAGTCAAATGCCTCTCCCGTCTACCGGTCGTTGCTAATCTTTGGTATTTTTCGCCCCGGAGACTGTCAAGCAGACGTTCACGATGTCTGCACTGGGTGGCAAGTCCAAGACGGAGCTCGCGCACCGCTGCCGCTATTCTCTGATGCCGAGATGGTGGAGTCGCTTCAACCGCTGATGCTATTGAGCCCCTTAATGGTGCTTACCTTGTTCAGTTGAGATGTGGATGCTAAGGAGTAGAGGGAAAACGATGAGGAACGGAGGAGGGGTTGTGGAGGGTGAGCACAAGGAGAATGAGAACGAGCACGAGCACAAGCACGAGGATGTGGGCGAGGAGGACGTAAAGGTGGGCATGGGGGAAATGGAGGTGTGAAGAGGGATGAAGGAGGCATCCCGCACGCTTCATGCATTTAGATGCTTTCTAGGTCGCCCAGCCAGTGATCGTCACCGCGGGTAGGCGTGGTCAGGCCGGCCTGGGATGAGGATACAACGCTCCAGAGCGTTCCTGAACGCTCGCAGAGCGTTCTGGATCACTCTGGGACGGCCGCGGCGCCCGATGCATCCTCCGGACCCACTGGGTTTCAGAGATCTCAAATTTACCCCCATCCGGATTTCTCCTCAGTTTGCCTTCGTCTTACGTGGCTCTTAGAGGGTAGACACGATCGTGCTTAGGGATGACCAGGAGAGGTTGAATTGGGGAGTGGAGGTGTCGCGGAGGTGGTTGGAGAGCGTGGGGCCAAGACCCCTGGCGACTCGAAGAACTCGTGCCCGAATTTTCAAACATTTTGGCGTCAGGTGGAACGAGAACAGAATTTGTACATGGTGGAGTAGGGGGAATGTGAGGAGGAAGGGAAGACTGAGGAGGAGGAGGCGGAGGAGGAGCAGGAGGAGGAGGAGGAGGTGCAGAAGCAGGACGAGGAGGAAAAAGGGGAGATGGAAGGGGACGGACGAAGGTGAGGATGAGGAGGAATGGGCGTGGAGGAGAAGGGGTGGGAAGGAGAAGAGACGGGTGGGAGGTGCGGGGGATGAGCACGAGGAGGGGGACGAAGAGGGGGAGATTACGCTACCGAGGAACCCCACATACTTAATTTAAATATTATGTGTTTGCTTATGTATAATATATATATATATATATTTACATATATATATATATATATATATATATATATATATGCACAATCCTGCGTTCTGGGCCCTCGTCGCGAATGTTTCCTGCTAGGCTTTGCGACAGTGTCGTGGATAGCGGCCGAGCTGAGAGACCACCCCCTGCGCACCCCCTATGGTGTCGAGAAAGTGCCACGCCTGCTAGCCTTTGCGCCAGTGTCGTGGACAGCGGCCGAGCTGAGAGACCACCCCTTGCGCACCCCCTGTGGTGTCGAGAAAGTGCCACGCCTGCTAGGCTTTGCGCCAGTGTCGTGGATAGCGGCCGAGCTGAGAGACCACCCCCTGCGCACCCCCTGTGGTGTCGAGAAAGTGCCACGGCTGCAAAGCTTTGCGCCAGTGTCGTGGCGGCCGAGCTGAGAGACCACCCCCTGCGCACCCCCTGTGGTGTCGAGAAAGTGCCACGCCTGCTAGGCTTTGCGCCAGTGTCGTGGATGGCGGCCGAGCTGAGAGACCACCCCCTGCGCACCCCCTGTGGTGTCGAGAAAGTGCTACGCCTACTAGGCTTTGCGACAGTGTCGTGGATAGCGGCCGAGCTGAGAGACCACCCCCTGCGCACCCCCTGTGGTGTCGAGAAAGTGCCACGCCTGCTAGGCTTTGCGCCAGTGTCGTGGATAGCGGCCGAGCTGAGAGACCACCCCCTGCGCACCCCCTGTGGTGTCGAGAAAGTGCCACGCCTGCTAGGCTTTGCGCCAGTGTCGTGGATAGCGGCCGAGCTGAGAGACCACCCCCTGCGCACCCCGTGTGGTGTCGAGAAAGTGCCACGCCTGCTAGGCTTTGCGCCAGTGTCGTGGATAGCGGCCGAGCTGAGAGACCACCCCCTGCGCACCCCCTGTGGTGTCGAGAAAGTGCCACGCCTGTTAGCTTTGAGCCAGTGTCGTGGATAGCACCGAGCTGAGAGACCACCCCCTGCTAGGTGCCACGCGTGCTAGGCTTTGCGCCAGTGTCGTGGATAGCGGCCGAGCTGAGAGACCACCCCCTGCGCACCCCCTGTGGTGTCGAGAAAGTGCCACGCCTGCTAGGCTTTGCGCCAGTGTCGTGGATAGCGGCCGAGCTGAGAGACCACCCCCTGCGCACCCCCTGTGGTGTCGAGAAAGTGCCACGCCTGCTAGCCTTTGCGCCAGTGTCGTGGATAGCGGCCGAGCTGAGAGACCACCCCCTGCCCACCCCCTGTGGTGTCGAGAAAGTGCCACGCCTGCTAGGCTTTGCGCCAGTGTCGTGGATAGCGGCCGAGCTGAGAGACCACCCCCTGCGCACCCCCTGTGGTGTCGAGAAAGTGCCACGCTTGCTAGGTTTGCGCCAGTGTCGTGGATAGCGGCCGAGCTGAGAGACCACCCCCTGCGCACCCCCTGTGGTGTCGAGAAAGTGCCACGCCTGCTAGGCTTTGCGCCAGTGTCGTGGATAGCGGCCGAGCTGAGAGACCACCCCCTGCGCACCCCCTGTGGTGCGAAAAGTGCCACGCCTGCTAGCCTTTGCGCCAGTGTCGTGGAGAGCGCCGAGCTGAGAGACCACCCCCTGCGCACCCCTTGTGGTGTCGAGAAGTGCCACGCCTGCTAGGCTTTGCGCCAGTGTCGTGGATAGCGGCCGAGCTGAGAGACCACACCCTGCGCACCCCCTGTGGTGTCGAGAGGGTGCCACGCCTGCTAGGCTTTGCGCCAGTGTCGTGGATAGCGGCCGAGCTGAGAGACCACCCCCTGCCCACCCCCTGTGGTGTCGAGAAAGTGCCACGCCTGCTAGGCTTTGCGACAGTGCCGTGGATAGCGATCGATTTGAGAGACCACCCCCTGCGCACCCCCTGTGGTGTCGAGAAATTGCCACGCCTGCTAGGTTTGCGCCAGTGTCGTGGATAGCGGCCGAGCTGAGAGACCACCCCCTGCGCACCCCGTGTGGTGTCGAGAAAGTGCCACGCCTGCTAGGCTTTGCGCCAGTGTCGTGGATAGCGGCCGAGCTGAGAGACCACCCCCTGCGCACCCCCTGTGGTGTCGCGAAAGTGCCACGCCTGCTAGCCTTTGCGCCAGTGTCGTGGATAGCGGCCGAGCTGAGAGACCACCCCCTGCGCACCCCCTGTGGTGTCGAGAAAGTGCCACGCCTGCTAGCCTTTGCGCCAGTGTCGTGGATAGCGGCCGAGCTGAGAGACCACCCCCTGCGCACCCCCTGTGGTGTCGAGAAAGTGCCACGCCTGCTAGGCTTTGCGCCAGTGTCGTGGATAGCGGCCGAGCTGAGAGACCACCCCCTGCGCACCCCCTGTGGTGTCGAGAAAGTGCCACGCCTGCTAGGCTTTGCGCCAGTGTCGTGGATAGCGGCCGAGCTGAGAGACCACCCCCTGCGCACCCCCTGTGGTGTCGAGAAAGTGCCACGCCTGCTAGCCTTTGCGCCAGTGTCGTGGATAGCGGCCGAGCTGAGAGACCACCCCCTGCGCACCCCCTGTGGTGTCGAGAAAGTGCCACGCCTGCTAGGCTTTGCGCCAGTGTCGTGGATAGCGGCCGAGCTGAGAGACCACCCCCTGCCCACCCCCTTGGTGTCGAGAAAGTGCCACGCCTGCTAGAGTGTCGTGGATAGCGGCCGAGCTGTGTGGTGTCGAGAAAGTGCCACGCCTGCTAGGCTTTGCGCCAGTGTCGTGGATAGCGGCCGAGCTGAGAGACCACCCCCTGCGCACCCCCTGTGGTGTCGAGAAAGTGCCACGAGCTGTGCTGTGCTGTGCTGAGCTGAGCCGCGCTGGGCTGTGCTGAGCTGTGCTGAGCTGTGGTGCGTGCTGAGCTGAGCTGAGCTGTGTGCTGAGCTGAGCTGAGCTGTGCTGTGCTGTGCTGTGCTGTGCTGTGCTGAGCTGTACTGTACGAAGAGTGAGGTGTGTGTCGCGGGTGCGGCGCGGCAGGGAAGAAAACCAGAACCCCACGAAGCATGTGGGGAAATAGAGAGGAGGATCGCACGCCACCAATAAGGGAGAGATAGAGAGAGAGAGAGAGAGAGAGAGAGAGAGATAATATCCGCCAGTTCAGACAAAAGCACCGATGGGGGTCCTTCGGAGAGGACCTTTTCTGCCACTGCGGGGAGGCTGGGACTGGCCTTCCCGCATGCCTGCGACATGGCTCCCCTGGGTTAGCCTCGTCAGTGTTCGTCGACCCTGACGCCTGGAGGCAAACAGACCGATGGCCCCAAGCGACGCTGAGCCCTGCCAGGGCGTTCTTACTGGGGGGCTTCGGTACCCCACGCCGTACGTAGCACGGACCCAGCAGCCCAAGCACCCGAGCCACCGACCTGGGAGGGCCCATCCCCAGAGCCCCTTTTCGGGAAGGCTCTGAGGAGCCTTTTTCAGTATTCTCGCTGCCAGCTCCCTCAGGCAAGAGCGCAGAATCTGAGCAGGCAACCGCTGCATGAAACTGATATATACAAACCTGATTTTCCGTCGAGTATACGAAGTACACGTAGAATGCTCCGCAGATCTACTGAGGATGCTACGTATCCTGTGTAATTTCAACTGGGACTTCAATTCTGGTGTACATCAATTCTGTAGTCGATCCCCTACTCGAGTCCTGGCTTCGTCTCACGGCCCCCGCTCAGCCGCGGCGTCCGATACTTCCTCCAGGGCCGCCGGAATTCAGAGATGCTCGATCTACCCCTGCTCGCCAAGTGCCTGCTCGCAAGCTCGGAGGAGGAAAAGGTGCCACGGGAGCGCGCGGAGCGCTCCAAGGGCGGCGCCCGCGGCGCCGATCCTGGGTGTCCGGCGCCGATCTGGGGGACCCGCGCGAAATTTAATGGTGGATGCCCGCTCGTCGTCGATGAGGGGCGGACCGCCTCCTTACAGAGGAGGAAGAGGCACCGATACCGCTGCCCTTCTCTTTTTTAGGGGCCTCCTGGGAGGCCCTCATTGCCACCGTTTGATTCGCTTCGAACCTCTGGTCAGAACGCACCCCGGGAGAGGACTGGGGAGTAGCGGTATCGGTTCCTGTTGGTTTC